CACAACAGGTACCGGCAACCTGCACTGACCGCCAACATCACCATGAGGATGATGCCCGTGCCCATCACAGGTACCTGAAGCCTACAGCCGTCACGACAGGAAGCATCTCTCACCATTCTCCTGAGTGTCCACAGACCATCACCATCAGGACCAGTCTCTGTGACCATCAGTCATGACAGACAGCTGCAGACCTCCACCTTCATGGTGAGTAGCCCTCCGGACACTGGGCTTTGAGGAGCTTGTCCCAAACCCTTGCTATGCTTTGCTCATTTTCCTCAAGTCCAAGACCTACCCCAAAACCAAGACTTCCATTGGTCCCTGGATCCTAACTCACCTTCAGTTTTTCTACACATGTGATTGGTATTGGGCAGGAGACCTTTTATTTGTTTGTTAATTTGTTTAAATCATTACTTGGCCTAATTACATAGGCTAAAGGGAGGCCCATCAGTGGCAGAGAAAGACTATCACCTAGGAAAATTTCACAGGTCCTAGAGTTAGATGGGCCAGCCCCACCGGGGTCTCCTCCTACACCTGAGAGCTGGGCCTGGTTCTGTCCCTCTCGGAGGGAAGTACCTGCGCAGGGGCTGGAGGGCCCTTCAAAACTCTTCACTCGCCCCCCAAAATGAATGTTTAGAACTACGAATCCATTTGTACATTTTAAGCTGACATCTAAGTTAATTTCTCATCCTCAGTCTAAATACTTGCGGAGGATGTAATTTCCAATGTAATATAAATATTAGCATTTTAAAATAAAACTGTTGGTCTTTCTCTTTTAAATGGATCCAATGGAATCTAAATAGCACAGCAATTTGAGATCCAACATCATCTATTTTAAAATTACATAACCCAGCTCTTCTTTAGCTGTTGGAAATAGAACAATGTTCCTTTTTCCTCTGGAACTCCAATTTCCAGTCCACTTCTGTCAAAGAGGTTTGTGCTTTATGTTTGAAAGGGTTTTATTGATCATTTTATTATACTGCTAGGCAAACATAGGGAACTGCGTGTAACAATCCAAAAACCCACTGCCCATAAAGTTGATTCCAACTCATAGCTACCCTATAGGAATGGGGTGAACTGATCCGTAGGGTTTCTAGAGCTGCAAATCTTTATGGAAATGGCCTGCCGCATCTTTCTCCTGCAGAGCAGCTGGTGGCTCCGAACCACCAACCTCTGTGTTAGCAGCCAAGCATTTTAGCCACTATGCCCCTAGAGCTCCTTAACTGTACGTTGTTTTTGTTGTTAAGTACCACTGAGTTGGTTCCAAGTCACTGCCACCCTAAATGCAATGGAATGAAGCGCTGCTTGGCCCTGCCCACCCATCTCACTGACAGATGTTTTCTTTTTTTTTTTTTTTAAAGTTCATCGGACAATAAAGCTCTAATTGTTAGTTTCTCTTCTGCACTGAGTTATTACAATTACTGTTAATATGTTAACCGATCAACCCAACAGAAACTGATTACAAATCTGTATAATAAATATTAAAAAATAAAACTTGATTAGAAACACAACTCTGAAGAGATCAGTGGGAATTTTTTTTTTTTTTTAATTATTTCATGTATCTACAGATAAATATTAGCTATCGTAGCGCTGCAAGGAGCTCTGGTAGCATAGTGGTTATGAGTCGGGCTGCCAACCTCAAGGTCAGCAGTTCAAAACTACCACCGGTTCCATGGGAGAAAGATGAGGCATTCTGCTCCTGTCAAGATTTACAGCCTCCGAAACCCTGTGCAGGGTCGCTATGAGTCAGAACTGACTCCATGGTACTTAACAACAACCTCGGAGCATTGCAGTTATAAGCACGTGACCACACAGTCAGCAGTTCAAACTCATGAGCCACTCCTCAGAAACCCTAACCATGGTCACTATCAGTCAGAGCTGACTCAACAGCCCTTAACAACAACAACAGCAGCATTGCTCACGTAGTTTAGGATAAATTCTATTTCCATTTTCAATGGTTATAGACACAAATCCTGAAATCACTCGTTCAGATAGGTAAAGCAGATTGGTGCCCTCCAGAGACTTACCAGAGCACTCTTTGAATTCCTTTAGAAGTGAATGCCAAGAATCATGCTCCTCTAGTATCAAAAGACATCAATGCTCTGTCAGCTGACCACTGGTTCAGGTCTTCTTTCTATTTTGTTGCACGTGGAAACGAAATACTTGACTTGCATGAGGATTACAATGCCCCAGCGGGCAGATCACTTGGGGCTCAGAAGGTTCTATAGTTGGAGACACACAGCCTCACTGTAGACTGTTCAAGCGCCCATAGTCAGCTTCCGGCGTGCCAAGTGCTTGACCCAAATTAACTAGTCCTCTCAACAAGCCAACGAGTCCTGCGCACATTGTGGGTTTGACATTGGGCTGCTAATCGCAAGGTCAGTGGTTCAAACTCACCAGCTGCTCCGCAGGAGGAAAATGAAGCTGTTTGCTCCCATAGAGATTTTTAGTCTCAGAAACCCTACACAAGGTCGCTCTGAGTTGAAATTGACTCAAGAGTATGGGTTACTTACTCAGCAATCCCAGGGGACAGGCACCACTATCATCTTTGTTTTACAAATGGGGAAACTGAGGCACCAGCTGGGCAGGCCCAGGGTTAAGCTACCAGTGATGTGACCCTGGGTGAACTGCCTCTGTGTGGCAAGGGAGACTGTGAAGGGGGGTTAGCAGCTCTTCCCCAAGCCAAGTTTAGCTGTGGGAACAAGGACAAGCGGAAGTTGGGAACTGACAATGTTTACTGTCTTAATTCTGGTCCCCTCTCACCTTAGAAGGATAAGCACTGGACTGCCAACCACAAGGTTGGTGATTCAAACCCATGAGCCACTCCTTGGAAACCCACACAGGGTCTCTGTGAGTTGGAATCAATTTTATGGCACTTAACAATGACAACTCACTGTGGAAAAGTTAAACCCAAATCCTTCTTCAAAGTAAAGGGTACTCCCCCCTTTGCTACTGTCGCACCTATTCTGACTCAGGGCACCCCCATGAGTGCAGAGAAGAACTTGAATCCGCAGGGTGTCAATGGCTGATTTTTTAGAGGTAGATTAGCAATCCTTTCTTTCAACGTACATTGGGGTAGACTCGAACGTCCAATCTTTCTGTTAGCAGATGAACACTTAACCATATGCACCACCCAGGGGCCCCAAGGTCCCCACTGCGGGTGTTCATTGCCATCCAGTCTGACTCATACTGACCCTGGGTACAGAGAACTGTCCCCACAGGCTTCTCAAGGCTGTGACCTTTCATAAGCTGATCACCAGGCTTGTGTTCAGAGGCAGTTCTGGGTGCGATCAAAGCACCATTCTTTCCGACAATGTAGTGAAATGCCTGCTTAACCGTTTGTACCACCCAGAGCTGTCACATAGATGTTAAGCCCTGACATTATCAATGTTACCACTTGACAACAGGAACGACTACCTACCATGAGCAGGGCGAGCATTTAGGCTCTGGCAGCATTTGAGAGCCTTTTACATCCCTGACCCTAGGGTGCATCATCCTTTTCTTAGACTCATGGGAACCCATGAGTACAGAGTAGAACTTGGTTCCGTAGGGTGAGACTACGACTAGTTTTTTTAGAAGCAGATTACCAGTCCTTTCTTCCAAAGTACATCTTCCCAATGCCAGGTACTAAGGAGCTCTGGTAGCGTAGTGGTTACGAATCGGGCTGCGAACCTTAAGGTCAGCGGTTCAAAACTACCAGCCGCTCCGCGGGAGAAAGATGAGGCTTTCTACTCCCGTAAAGATTTACACCCTCGGAAACCCTGTACAGGGTCGCTATGGGTCGGACCCGACTCGATGGCACTTAACAACAACAACAACAATAAGCTTGGAATCATTACGCTGTCAGAGGAGCCTATGTACAAGCAGAGGAGAGCTGGCCTGGCACAAAGACTGGGGGCTATGGAGACCGAGAAAAGGTCAGTCAAATCCCAACTCTCCCGCCTTCCATCTGAGGGCGCCCCCCACTCCTCCAGGAGAGGCTGCACACTGTAAGCCTTTGTTGATTCATCCAGTAAATGGGCACGATAATAGCACTTTGATCTCTGGAGAGCCTAACACAGGAAATACCAAGTGGTGGTTAGCAGTACAGTCATTTCATCATCTTTAATTATTAACACTGGAACCGAGGCACTCTGACGGCATGACAAGCTCAGTGCCCAGGTGCCCACCAGCCTGGGGATCCGGTACACAGAAGCCTGACTCTTCGGCAAAACCTGATAAGTGAGTTGGCTTCTGATTTTTGCAGAGCCTTTCTCTACATCTTGAAAGTGCCAAGAGGAGGCAAACAGAGACATCTTGGTGGGGTTTATTTTTAGATGCCTGGGTGGAACGTGTCCAGTTTGGCTTCACGCTGGTTCTGCGCCCCCACGGTCTCCCCACAAGTGATCATAAAAATGAACAGTAGACACATCAAAAAATAACTCATAACTCTTCTTCTGCCTGCTGCCTTCTAAAACCACAGCTCTGGCCTCCCGGTACACGCGCAGATTAAGTGGATTAAAGGTTTTCGTCTAAATCTTTCCAGGAAGCTATGGAAAACCAACCCACGAGCCCACTTGGCTACCTCTCACATTTGGAAGCAGGTGCCCAGCTCATGACTCTCAATGGTAGGAGTGGCACTCAACCACCTTAGGGTTGGGGATCTTGTGTTATCAGGAAGCAGTTACTGAGGGAGGCTTAGTTTTTCCGTTGATAAACACTTGAACTCACTTCCTCTAAAATGGCGCCCAACAGGAATTTCCTTGTGGACTCAGACAGATGGTTGTGGTTAACTGTGACCTTTAGTCTCCCCATCCCCAACACACACTCATACAACACACATAAACTAATCCATCTTCCCGATGAGCTCCTCCCACCGACACCACCACAGCAGGGAACCAGGGCAGGAATCTGGTCAAATCCACACAAGAGTCATGTGACGATACAGCCCAGGCCCCCAGGTTTTGGGGTGCAAGAGGAGTAAGTTGGGCATGAAACCACCACAGGACCCGGTCTGTACTCACCTGCACGACTTCTATCCCTCGTTTCCTGTGGAGAAAAACAAAGAGGAGCGGTGTTACTCTAGGGCAGGCGGAAAGCGTTTCTTCCAGAACCCGTTCTGTAACCATGGCTGGCTGAAAGCAGGAGCCTTCTCACACCAGGCATCAAGTCAACCTCGGTTTTTGAGAGGAGGCTGTCCGAAAACCTAAGCTGCCCCTCAAAGCCATTTTCTGGCCAAAGAGACGGTTGGTTTCCAAACTTGAAGTCCCCATAGGACTTAGTGGGAGTACTCACTAACTACAACAGTCCTGGGGCAAAGTCTGGCCTTCCCCAAGACCACCGCCCTACTCACCATCCAGTGGACTGCTTGTCCCTTCTTAACTCAACCACCTCCATGGCTCCCCATTTCCTCCAAAACCCTTGGGCCTGGCTTCCCATGTCTGCCAAATGCTACCACTGGCCAGCCCGGTCACCCCCTTGGGCACGAAGCCAGGGTCTTCCCTGAGCTCCATCCCTTCCCAATCCTGCTTGGTTTGCTTTTCCAATCCTGTGGCCATCCCTGATCACCAATGACACCACGCCCATTCCTTGGCTCCTAGTTCACTCCTCCCCTAAGACCTGGTCTTTATAATCTTCATCCACCTCTCTCACCCGCTTTCTCTCCCATGAGGGCAGTGGTGGTTCTGAGGTAGAACTCCTAACTTCCTGGGTTCAATTCCTGACCACGGCAGCTCATGTCTAGCCACCACTCATTTGCTAGTGTTGGCTTGTGTGTTGTTATGTTGTTGACCAGGTTTCAGCAAAGCCTCTGGACTAAAGTGGACCAGGAAGGAAGGACTGACAATCTACTGCCAGAAGTTAGCCAATGACAACCCTACGGGTGGAGACGGGGGTCCAGATCCATTGTGCGCAGGCTGACAGCTAACAACTCCCCACTCACTCTCCACAGTCGCTGGGCCTCCAGGCTTTGGGGTCTGCACACAAAGACACCCTGCTGTCTCCACCTGACATTTCTGGCTGTAGCTCCCACACACTTCCAGCCAAGTCTTTACGGTTCCTCTCAGGCTGACCTCCCACCCACCCACCTCACCCACACCCTAGGAAGCTGTGCACAGGACCTGCCCTCAGGGCTACTACTCTGGCCCCTAATCAGGCTTCTGACCGGCTATTGATTTACTTCCAGGCTACTAGGTGGAAGGAATCGCAAGGACATGGGCACATTACAGCTGTGTCTGGAAAGGTAACTACTGGGACAAGCGTCCTCACCTCCCACCTGCACAGCTTCAGAGGGGCCAAGACCAAGGAAATCGATGCAGCCACAAAACACGCAAAAAAGCACAGGAGGTGGACACCAGACCATCAAGATACCATATGTGAAAAAGCAAGGTGCAGAACAGTACACAGAGTACAACCTTTTAGATTAAAAACAAGAGGACGTGTTTGTGGGAAACAGCGTGGTGGCAACTCAAAAAACTAAAAACACAACTAGCATATTAACCCAGCCAAGTCTACTGCTAGGTGGTGGGATGTTAGTGCCGTTGAGTTGGTTCCCACTCATCCTGACATAAGATAGGTATATCCTGTAGGTATAAACCTATCCTGGTATGATGCTGTGGGGCCAAGCACTGGACCAAAAAGTCAGTCTGAACCACAGGTCAGTGGTTCGAACTCACCGCCACTCCTGGGAAATCCTACACAGGGTCACTATGAGCCAGAACTGGCTTAGCAGCACTTAACAATAGCAAATACCCAAAAGACTTGAAAGCAGAGGCTCAAAAAGAGACTTGTATAATCTGATACAATTTGATGAACTTGACCTACATCTATGGAAGCAGTAG